TGCTGTCACCAGAAGAATGGGTGCAGCGAGAGGCCTTGGGCACTCTCAGGAGCATGTGTGTGTCCCCTGAGCCTGCTCCGGGTGCCTGGGGGTCGGGCTCGGGAGAGGAAAGAGAAGGTGGCCCTGAGGCCGAGGGCCTTGGGAAAATGGTCATGGAAGGAAAGTCATTAGCTGTGTGACCTTGAGCAGGTCATTTAACCTTTCTGTGCCTTTGTTTCCTCATCTGTAAAATGGGAATAATAGTACCTACTCTGTTTGGGAACTAGATGAGTTTACATAAGAGGGCTCAGAATGGTGCCCAGAACATAGTAGGTCTGTTCATTATAATTGTAGTCTAAGCACATTCCCTGTGCCAGGCGCCATGGCCATCCTTCCTGGGCAGCACCAGGGACCCCCAGCCTCAGGCCCTGCATGGTCCAGGACCCCCAGCCCTGACCTGCGGGAGCCAGCGTTCCTCCCCAGATGTGCCATCAGGCAGGTCTCCCTGGTGTGCTCGCCATCCCAGGGATGCAGTTGGGCCCCCAGGAAGGTGCAGCGTGGCAGGGACCCGCTCACACACCACCATCCCCTGCGGTGCCTGGGGAGAACCCAGGGAAGAGTGAGGATGGGGTCCTGGCCCCCACCAACTGCTGAGTGTGGGATATGGGGCGAGTCGCCCAGCCTCCAGGGCCCTGGCTCTGGGGAGTCTGCAGAATGGAGAGTTGAGCAACCCCCCGTGGGGTGGCCACGAGGATGCAGGGCTGCAGTAAATGGTGGAAATGTTCTTTGCAGCCCCGAGTCCAGCCACGAGTGTCAGGATCGGGGGTGGGGAGGCAGAGGCCAGACAGCGTTTGGCTCCCCACATCTCAGGCCTCCAGAAGCCCTGCCGGCTGACCCCAGGCTTCCGTTTTCATGGCCCTGATGCCCCAAAAAGAGCGTTGAATAATTTGTCCTTTTGTAGAAGGATGGGGACTGCCTGCTGGGCTCCTGAGAATGTAGGGTCTTCACCCCAGGCTGGGAAGGACCCTCACCCAGCATGTGCACAGAAGCTGTTCTCAGGGGGGCGCCCCAGAGCCAGCACCGGGGCGGGAGCGGCAGCCGGACATACTGCCAGACCGAGGAGCCCTGTAGATGTGCTGGCCCCTGAGGGCTGACGGCTGGCCCCGATGGGAGGAGCCAGGTCATCCACGGGCACCCAGGGCAGAACCCTGCGTCGGGCCATTGCCCAGTTCCTCAGTGCCACTGCCTCCCAGCCTCATGCCCCTGCCAGTCTCTGCACTGAACTGCTAGGACTGCGCTGACACTTGCAGGCGGGCCACCCAGGCTGTGCTCCATCCTAGGGCCTAAGGCTCACTCTCTGGATGCCTTATTGTCCTCAGGAGCAAGGCCACACTCCTTACCTTGGCCTCCAGGCCCTGAAACATCACTGCCCCTCTGCCCCCCTCACCTGTGGGCCCTTCCTCCAGCCTCAGGCTCGGCCTCTGCCACCTCTCGGGGCTCCCACCACTGGACTCAGTGGAAGTTTGTGGAATGAATGAGTGAAACGTCACCTCCGCAGACAGGCTCCCTGTGCCCCCCACTGACGAGCCAGGCCACCCACCTCCTGGTCCCCCCACGGGAATGGCCCTGCTGATGCGCCAGCCCGTTGCCCAGCACAGAGCCCGGCACACAGTAGGTGCTCAATAAACAGCAGCTGCCGACTTGGGCGGCGCCTGCAGAGGCAGCTGCTCCTGCCTTGGGGCTCAGCTTGTCTCTGCTCCCAGCGGTCGGATCCAAGGAGGAAGACCCCCTTGGCGTGTTTGCTTGCTGCTGGACTCCGTGTCTTTCTTCTCTCCTCCTCCATCCCTGCGCAGTAGCTTGGGAAGCGGCAGTTTGCAGAGATTGAAGGGAAAATTTCTTGAAAGCCTGCACTTTTATCTTCCAATTTGTAGCCATTTAGCAGGGCCGGGCCGAGGGGCAGCGAGCGTTCTGGCTGTGCAGGCAGCACGGAGGTGCCCACCGCTGCAGAGAATGGGTTCTTTGTCCTTCCCCAGACAGCTCTGGGCTGCAGGACGGACGCCCACCCTCTGGGGGCCAGGCAAGTCTGCAGGGCTGGAGGGAAGGCCAATGGCTAGCCCGCCAGCCTCACCACGGGCCCCAGAGCTGCGAGGGCTTCCCCAAGCTCTGGGCCCACAAACGGTGGACGACCTCCCTGTCACCGCCTTCCCCAGCTGCTCCCAGCGCCCTGAGGGGACCTGAGGCTCGCCCCTCCCTCGGGCCACTAAAGAGGGGGCCCAAGAAGACCGTCCTGCTTTGACCAGAGGGGGCCCTTCCGGTGGAGGGAAACTGCAGAGGGGAAGGAGTCCCAGCTGGGATTCTGGAGGAAGACTTCTGGGTGCTTGGGAAAACAAAGTGCAGGTGCAGCTGTGGGGTGAGAAAATGTCTGGAAGAGGAAGGTTTGTGGGTTTCAAATGTTGCTGTGAAGAGCTTTGCCCCCTGCAGTGGTGAGACTCAGAGCTGGCGGGCACCTCACTGCTGGAGATGGGACCCATGGCACCCAGCTGTAAGGGAGGGACGTGAGGCAGCCAAAGGTCTCTCTGCCTTGGGAAGAAAGGACTGTGGACGCTGGGCCAGCACAGTGGGGAGGGGACGAGAGGCTGTGTCCGTGAGGTCAGGGGAGGGAGGGCCCTCGTGGCTGGAAAGAAGGGGAGGCTTCCTGGAGGAGGTGACATCCGACCCACCCAAGTGTCTATTGCCCCCAAGTTGGGCTGGTCTTTGCCCCTTTCTAGGTGGACTCTGGCACCTGGGGTGAGGGCCAGTGTCTGCCCCCTCCGTGGAGCCCACTGGACCCAGGATCACCCAGCATCATCCTGTCAGTTCCTTCTCCCCGTACCCATCCATCACCCTCAGTCCCGCCTCCAGGCCTCTGCCCAGGAAGCCCCTCCCCTCCCTTGGCCCAGCCCCTCAAGCTCAGCTCCAGTCCCCACACCCCTGGAAGTTCCCCAGGGGGAAGATCATGGCTGAGAGCGGTGAGAACTCCTGTCCTGGGGGCAGGCAGGCTGCAGCAGGTGAGGGCTGTGCCACGTGTTTTCAAGACTGGAGCGGGGGAGCGGGCGGGGCACTGCCGGGGCACACGTCGCTTATTAGGATTAAAGCCTGGTATGACCGCCGGGCTCGTCCACTCGAAAAGGACACTGAGGCCAGGGGGAGGGGCAGGCCTGTGCCTCATGCCCACCTGGGTGCTCTTGTGCCCCCCTGGGTCCCCGACTGGAGTACAGGGGCTCAGCCACCCCCCACAAAGTCCTCAGGAATCAGCACCAATTAAAAAAAATACACTTTACTGTGGACTTTGGGGTCTGCAGTGGCAGCGCAGCAGGTTCGCGGGGAACGGAGCATGCAGGGTGCCAGCCAGGTGCACGGGATATGGTGAAGCGGCCCCTCTGCTGGGCACCCAGGCCCTGGTCTCCTCCGACTGCC